GTCTCTCCTCTCCTCTCCTCTCCTCTCCTCTCCTCTCCTCTCCTCCTCCTCTCCTCTCCCCTCCTGGTGTTGAGGAGTTGTGTCACTGTTTCTGAGAGAAAAAAAAAATTTTGCTTGACAGAGAAAGAGATTGCAAAACATAATCTGCATCATCTAAATTGTCCTTGTTGCTAACCCTAATATGCTCTGTCTATATCTGAACTCTCTGAGGACAAATTAAATAAAATTTTTAGCAAATTTTTCTTCTCTGGGACATTTACAGTTATTTACATCATTTTTTTTAAAAGTCCTTCCCTCCCAAATAAACTCAAAGTCGCTAGTCCTCTGAGAGGGTGCTATTAATGCCATGTTTAAATTACAAATGTGCTAAGCCCAGGGCTTTTAAAAATATGTGTAAAATATTTTTTTCAATAGGCAATTGATATACATACATACACACTCACATATATATATATATAATTCTTATGTATCCTAATAAAGATTTAAAATAATTTGTTAAATTATTAAAGAGGAACAAAAGGTGTTTCTACGCATACCTAGTAATGTATGTAGCTTCCATTATTATAGTAATTTATGACTCAAAAAACTCTCCTATGAATATTCTTGTTACTTCTGTATGAATTAAGGAAGTACTATCCTTATGTTAGAGATGAGGAGCTGCAGGACAGTTTGAACTGGTTTACCCAAGGTCATTTAGACAGAATCTGGCAGTGCAGGAGTTTGAACCCAGTCCTGCTAAGTCTTACTACGAACTCCTGGACAATCCTTTATTTCAGATATGAGTATATTTTAACCATCTAAGCAAAAGGAAAACATGAAGTCTTGAGCGATTCATAACGACTTAACTAAACTGAGTACTATCAGACACCCGTAAGAATACATCCATCAAAGATTTGAAAGCACAACACAGCAGGTAAAGCAGTCTGAAGAAGATACATAAGTAACTGAAGACAAGAAAGAGAAAAATCTTATTCTAAAAGGAAGTTGCTATTTCCATACAGAAATAAACTTACAATTTTCTTTCAAAGATCATGGAAGGTCCAGCATTTGTTTAAAAAACAATACAGGTGAAGCGAGGTGGGCATTCAAGAACTGACTGGTGACCATATCTCAACATGATCTCCATCTTTGGAGGATGTCCGAGGAGAATTCCCCTGATAAATCCAACCAACCTGATATAGCCAACAAATCCTTCTTTGTGGTGACATTGAGACCAATGAAATATTGAATGTATGTAGTTCTATGCATCATGCTCTTGTGGGTTGAGTTGCTTCTCCACCAAGGGACATCCAATACTCTGGATTTGTGATCTGTCAGAAAGCAAGGACTAAATCAAGATCTTGGTTTAGTACTGGCAGCCTTTGATCTAGATAGGGTGAATCTTTTGAATTATAATTTCATACTGTTGTATATTGTTAAATAGTGTGACTTTTCCTGTAATAATACTGTATTCTTGGTTTTCAAAGGTTCCTGTACCAGATGTCATGATGCCCAACAGTATGCTGTTGCCAGCAGCTGCTTCAGAGAAATCTGAACGTGACACACCTGCAACCATTACGGCTGAGGGACCTGGGAAATATCCAGGTATGCAAGAAAAAGCCCAGACATGTAAAAGCGAGATACAAGCAATTTAGAAATAAACCACTTGTTTCTTTTTTAGTAAAGTGAATCCTTTTTGGCTCACATATAGCCACAGAGATAGAAAAAGAAAAATAACAAGGGGCCTCAATTTGGCCTCAATTTGGTCGACTGCACCCATGCAGAGCTGCTAGGAAGCACGCATATGCCAGACTGTTTGCTTTTGGTAGAGGTAAAATTAAACAGTAGTGCCTAGCCACTTTGAAGGTAAGACACTCCTTGTTTAACCAGCACATAAGTCCCGGTCCTAAAAGACAGTGGCACTTTCACCAACATCAATGGAGAATGTTAGGCAAGTGATTCTGCCTCTGTTCCCAATTGCAGGTTTCTTATCCTGAACTCTTACTCTGTTCTGTATTAGGAAGCTGCTTTGCCACCTCTCACAGCATACTCCTCCCTCTCTCCTCAGACCACCTTCCTCCCCCTTTCTAATTATCTGTCCTACTTCTTGTCCACATGTCTACTCCCTCCCTCTTTCTTATTGTTTATTTCCTTTTCTTAACTGGAGCTCCCATTGTACCAATAAACTCTTATTTTATGACAAGGAGATGCCACATGCCACTCCTGGGCCAACTGCCACTGCCAGTCTGATGACTGTCTTTGGATTTTAGTACTTTTTTTTTAACCTCCTGTTTGGATGTTAGTACTTTTTTTTTAAACTCCAATTTGTCCTGTCTGCTTTATTCTCTGGAGTAAGGATGGATTGCTATATTTTGCTAGGCCAACATGTAGCATACCAGGTACCTCTCTTGATTTCTGACAAAAAAAACTAATACTATAAGCTATTCTCTTCTACTTGTGTAAAAGACACTTCACTTTGTTTAACTAGGTGAAAGTCTTGTGGATGAGAAAAGTACCCCTGGGAATGATGAATCAAAAACTGGAATGGAAATTAAGACGGAGGAACAGAAGCCACCTAAGGAATCTACTGAAACACCAGATTGGAATAAGAGCAGCAGTAAAGATATAAAGACCACTGACTCAATGACAGATCAGCTAAATGAGCAGCAGAAGAAGCAACAGCTCTCTGTTTCTGATCGCCATGTTTATAAGTACCGTTGTAACCATTGCAGCTTGGCTTTTAAGACTATGCAGAAGCTTCAGATACATTCCCAGTATCATGCTATTCGGGCAGCTACCATGTGTAGCCTTTGCCAACGTAGCTTCCGTACATTCCAGGCTTTAAAAAAACACTTGGAAGGAGGCCACCCTGAACTCAATGAAGCTGAACTTCAGCAGCTCTGTGCATCTTTACCTGTCAATGGTGAACTCTGGGCAGAAAGTGAAAGTATGGCACAAGATGATCATGCGCTAGAACAGGAAATAGAAAGAGATTATGAGATGGACCAGGAAGGTAAAGCAAGTCCTGTAGGAAGCGATAGTAGCTCTATTCCAGACGATATGGGCTCAGAACCAAAGCGGACCTTACCTTTTAGAAAAGGGCCAAATTTTACCATGGAAAAATTTCTAGATCCATCTCGCCCATATAAGTGTACAGTGTGTAAAGAGTCTTTCACCCAAAAGAACATTCTCTTGGTCCACTATAACTCAGTGTCCCATCTACATAAACTCAAAAAGGTTTTGCAGGAAGCATCGAGTCCTGTCCCTCAAGAAACCAACAGCAGCACTGACAACAAACCCTACAAATGCAGCATTTGTAATGTTGCGTATAGCCAAAGTTCTACATTGGAAATCCATATGAGATCTGTGCTTCATCAGACGAAGGCAAGGGCTGCAAAATTAGAACCAAGTGGTAATATAAGTAGCGGAAATAGTGTAGCAGGGAATGTTAATAGCCCCAACCAAGGAATGCTAGAATCTATGAGTTTACCAGCAGTTAACAGCAAAGAAACACATTTGGATGCCAAAGAATTAAACAAAAAGCAAGCTTCTGAATTAATTTCTGCTCAGCCTACACATCACCCACCCCAGTCACCAGCACAACTTCAAATGCAACTACAGCATGAACTGCAACAGCAAGCGGCATTCTTTCAACCTCAGTTTCTAAACCCAGCTTTTTTGCCTCACTTTCCAATGACACCAGAAGCACTGCTGCAATTTCAACAGCCTCAGTTCCTTTTCCCGTTCTATATACCTGGGACGGAATTTAGCTTAAGCCCAGATCTGGGTTTGCCTGGTTCTGCCACATTTGGCATGCCCGGAATGGCTGGTATGACAGGATCACTGCTAGAAGATTTGAAGCAGCAGTTACAAACTCAGCACCATGTTGGCCAAACCCAGCTACAGATACTGCAGCAACAAGCACAACAGTATCAATCCACTCAACCCCAACTTCAGTCCCAAAAACAGCAGCAGCAAAGTAGCAAGCTGATGAAAGCAGAACAAAATACCTTAGTAAGTACAGACTGCCAGCTGATAAAGGATATGCCATCATATAAGGAGCCAGAAGAAATTTCTGAGAAACAAGAGAAGCCAAAGCAAGAGTTTACTAATGAGAACGAAGGACTAAAAGAAAACAAAGATATGAAGAAGCCAAAATCCTCAGAACCAGGCATCCCACCACCCAGAATAGCTTCTGGAGCAAGGGGGAATGCAGCCAAGGCTTTGTTGGAGAACTTTGGGTTTGAATTAGTTATCCAATACAATGAGAACAGACAAAAAGTGCAGAAAAAAAGCAAGACTGGTGAAGGTGAAAACACAGACAAATTGGAATGTGGAACCTGCAGTAAGCTCTTTTCCAACATTCTTATTCTGAAGAGTCATCAAGAACATGTGCATGGACAGTTTTTTCCATATGGAGCATTAGAAAAGTTTGCCCGACAGTACAGGGAGGCGTATGACAAGCTTTATCCAATTTCTCCATCTTCGCCAGAAACACCACCACCTCCACCACCGCCTCCTCCACCACCACCACCTCCTCCTCCTCCAACTCCTTCTCAGCCTTCTTCAGCTGGGTCTGGTAAAATTCAAAACACAACTCCCACTCCTTTGCAAGCTCCACCACCCACACCACCACCGCCGCCTCCACCACCACCACCACCTCCTCCTCCACCTCCGCCACCATCAGCCCCACCTCAAGTCCAGCTTCCTGTTTCACTTGATCTCCCACTTTTCCCTCCAATTATGATGCAGCCAGTGCAGCATCCTGCATTGCCTCCTCAGCTTGCCCTCCAGTTGCCGCCAATGGATACTTTATCTGCAGATCTTACCCAGCTTTGTCAGCAGCAGCTGGGATTAGATCCCAATTTCCTGCGGCACTCTCAGTTCAAGCGTCCACGTACAAGAATCACAGATGACCAGTTAAAAATCTTGCGGGCTTATTTTGATATTAACAATTCTCCAAGTGAAGAGCAGATCCAAGAAATGGCTGAGAAATCTGGTCTTTCACAGAAAGTTATCAAGCATTGGTTTCGTAATACGTTGTTTAAAGAACGACAGCGAAATAAAGATTCTCCATATAACTTCAGCAACCCTCCTATAACAGTACTAGAAGATATCAGAATAGATCCTCAACCTTCAGCTGTAGAACCTTACAAGTCTGATGCATCTTTCAGCAAGAGATCATCTAGGACTCGGTTTACTGACTACCAGCTTCGTGTCCTCCAAGACTTCTTTGACACAAATGCTTATCCAAAGGATGATGAAATTGAACAGCTTTCAACTGTACTTAACCTACCTACACGAGTTATTGTCGTATGGTTTCAAAATGCGCGACAAAAAGCTCGCAAAAGTTATGAAAATCAAGCTGAAACTAAAGACAACGAGAAAAGGGAACTGACAAATGAGCGTTACATTCGAACTAGTAACATGCAATATCAGTGCAAAAAGTGCAGTGTGGTTTTTCCCAGGATCTTTGATTTGATTACACACCAGAAAAAGCAGTGTTATAAAGATGAAGATGACGATGCCCAAGATGAAAGTCAAACTGAAGATTCTATGGACGCCTCCGATCAAACAGTGTATAAGAACTGCACAGTTTCTGGCCAAAATGACTCATCAAAAAGCCTGGCAGTCACAGCACCAAGCTCTGGCTCTGGTTCTAGTACTCCTTTGATTCCATCACCCAAACCAGAACCTGAGAAGGCTTCTCCTAAACCAGAGTCCACAGAAAAACCAAAACAAAACGAAACTGCCTCTAAGCAAACCGATACAACTTCCCAAAGCACCAAACCAGTACAGTCTACTCCAGTAACCTCTTCCGACCCTCAACCCCCAGCTTCTCAACCACAGCAACAAAAACAATCACAGATAGTAGGAAGACCTCCTTCTGCACCACAAACCACACCTGTTCCTTCCAGTCCTTTACCAATTTCAATGACTTCTCTACAGAACAGTCTACCTCCTCAGTTATTACAGTACCAATGCGATCAGTGTACAGTTGCCTTTCCAACTCTAGAACTTTGGCAAGAGCACCAGCACATGCATTTCCTAGCAGCCCAAAACCAATTTCTTCACTCACAATTTTTAGAAAGACCAATGGATATGCCCTATATGATATTTGACCCCAATAATCCTTTGATGACTGGACAATTACTTAACAGTTCTCTTGCTCAGATGCCACCACAAAGTGGCTCATCACATACAGCACACCCTCCTACAGTTTCTGGTTCCCTGAAACGAAAACTAGATGATAAAGAAGACAATAACTGTAGTGAGAAGGAGGGAGGAAACAGTGGAGAAGACCAACATCGTGATAAGCGTTTAAGAACTACAATTACTCCAGAGCAGCTGGAAATACTCTATGAAAAGTACCTGTTAGATTCCAACCCTACCAGAAAGATGCTAGATCACATTGCACGTGAAGTGGGACTGAAAAAGAGAGTCGTACAAGTCTGGTTTCAGAACACAAGAGCCCGAGAAAGAAAGGGACAATTCCGTGCGGTTGGTCCAGCCCAGTCCCATAAAAGGTGCCCTTTTTGTCGAGCTCTATTTAAAGCAAAATCAGCTTTAGAAAGCCACATTCGCTCTCGACATTGGAACGAAGGGAAACAGGCTGGTTACAGTTTGCCTCCGAGTCCTTTGATATCGAATGAAGATGGAGGAGAAAGTCCTCAAAAGTACATATTTTTTGATTACCCATCCCTGTCATTAGCAAAAACTGAATTATCAAGTGAAAATGAATTAGCCTCCACTGTATCAACCCCTGTTAGCAAAACTGCAGAAATGTCACCGAAGAACCTCCTAAGTCCTTCTTCTTTTAAAGCAGAGTCTAGTGAGGATATAGAAAATTTGAATGCCCCTCCTGCCGACTCTGGATACGATCAAAACAAGACTGACTTTGATGAGACTTCATCAATTAATACAGCAATTAGTGATGCCACAACAGGGGATGAGGGGAACAATGAAATGGAAAGCACGACTGGCAGTTCAGGGGATGCAAAACCTGCATCACCTCCCAAAGAACCAAAACCACTTGTGAATGACACGCTATCAAAAGCTGCAACTACACCTACGAATGAGAACACCGATGATAAATTTCTCTTTTCGATAACAAGCCCCTCGATACATTTCAGTGAAAAAGATGGTGAACATGACCAAAGTTACTACATTACTGATGACCCTGATGATAATGCTGACCGCAGTGAAACTTCAAGCATAGCTGATCCAAGTTCACCTAACCCATTTGGAGCTAGCAATCCCTTTAAATCCAAAACCAGTGATCGGCCAGGCCACAAACGTTTCCGAACACAAATGAGTAACCTTCAGCTTAAAGTTCTCAAGGCTTGCTTTAGTGACTACAGAACTCCAACAATGCAGGAATGTGAAATGTTAGGGAATGAGATTGGCCTGCCCAAACGTGTGGTCCAGGTGTGGTTTCAGAATGCCCGGGCAAAAGAAAAGAAATTCAAAATTAACATAGGGAAGCCGTTCATGATAAATCAGACTGGACCTGATGGGACAAAGCCAGAATGTTCTCTGTGTGGTGTGAAATATTCTGCGCGTTTGTCCATAAGAGATCACATCTTTTCCAAACAACATATTACAAAAGTGAGAGAAACTGTGGGAAGTCAGCTAGATCGGGAGAAAGATTATTTAGCTCCTACAACGGTTAGACAGCTCATGGCACAGCAAGAGTTGGATCGCATAAAGAAGGCTACTGATGTACTAGGATTAACAGTACAGCAGCCAGGCATGATGGACAGCAGTTCTCTTCATGGTATCAGTTTGCCAGCAGCTTATCCAGGACTCCCTGGCCTTCCTCCTGTTCTTCTGCCTGGAATGAATGGTCCATCCTCCTTACCTGGATTTCCACAAAGTTCAAACAGTAAGTCTATAAGGGGATAATTTTCTCATTTCATTAATTTGATCGTCTTGCACAGCCACCATCCCCTTCATATATAGCATGCTTGTGAGACTGGTGTGAGTAGCTAAAATGCACTGTTATGAGGTGTACTCAGCACAATTCTGGATTGTTGCTGTAGGCTGGCGGCAATCTTTGATTTCACAGAAAATAAAAAGATCATTTTAATTGAAATCTAATTGACAGAAATGGTTTTAGTCCATATTAAGCTTCTCTAACAAAGGCAATATAACAACAGCATTGCTGTGCCTTTTTGTTTTGTTTAGTTTTGAATGATATTCCTTTAGGCAAAACTTGAATTAGAACTTTGTATGTAAATTTTTTGTATGCAAAAATTCAAAGTAGCATCTGATGAAGCACAAAATAGTAATTCCCATGTTATTGGTTCATCAGGCATTTGGTCCACCCCTTAGATCAGTCCAAACTGTTGTTTAATTCAGAATAAATATTTAAAATGAAATGCTGTCCAAACCCCTCTATTAGATTTCTGAATAATTGCCTGCTAAGATAAGAAGGTTTTTGTTGAAGTTGATATAATGGCAGTTTCATTGTGATCCAAATTCCAGGAGCGGCTGAACATCTCCTACCTCTAGCTTGTAAAGTCATTGCAGACATGTACCATTTCATTTGGGCTTGCACTTTTAAATGAACAGGTAGCTCTCTTATAGTACTGTTTTGACTCTAGTTTGACTCTGGTTTTTGTTCACACTGGAAGCACTTCCTCTTGCAATAAGTTTTGCTGATGTTAGAGAATCAAGGTTTCTGCAGAACGATTTGTTTAGTCCTCAAAGAATGAACCTAACTTATTTTCTTCTATTAGGCTCCAGTTTTGCAGTCAGAGTTCATTGTGAGTGCAGCCTTGCAGATTGAAGTTCTTCCTTTCATCTTCTAACTTTGCACATTCATATCAAATATGTGGACAGCAGAATTAGGGAGCTGGTTAAGACCCCTCACTTCATTTTATCTAGTAATTCCACTTGCTGTTGATCTCTAAACTTTGGTTTAGAAAGCAACTCACTTTGGCAAGTAAGGTAGGGGCTTAATCACCAGTGTTTTTAGACGCACTAAGACTGTAGCACTGGCTTCTCTGCTGCCCTGCTCTGCTTTGATTGATGATGATCATGTTATTGTTTCCATAAGTAGTGGTCAAAGCATCTTGTTTTTCTCTTCATTGGATCAGAATGGCTTTCCTTCCACAATGGAGTTTCTGGCTGAGTGCCCTCTGGCTTTTGTCAAGCAGTTATTGGCACAGAGAGTGCATATAAAGGAAATATAAAGTTGCTGTATTTCCTTCTTAATGGCATACAGTGTCCAGGTCCAAAAATGTCTGGTTGTTGTTCATTAAAATTATAGATATGGTTTCTCTGTATAACTTGCTAAATAGCTTTGGTCAGGTTGACCTTCAGGTAAAATGGCCTCCAGAAAACTCTATACTGCTATATGCCTATATTACTAAATGAAATTTGTTTGGAAAGATATTATTGCTTTCTTTTACTCTCAAAAAGAGGAAGTCCCCATGCAAAGTGAGTCTTGGGAGTGGTCGTGAACCCATGATAGCCTCTCAGCTGTGCTCAGGAGCTGTTTCGGAGAACGTTAGTTGGCATCGGCTGAAACAGTGCCAGTGACCGTTCTTACTGTTTAACTTTATAGGTGGTTTAGTTTCAGTTTTTGGAAAATGTTCCCTGGAGCTGTTTAAATTTCTAGTATCGATGTAGCCTCAGATTCTGTAAATCGTCCTGTTAATAATAGAAAAGGTATTATTACAGGCCAACTGGTCCATAATAATTCAATTTTCAGATTTTTCTACTTTCCACCAAATATGTCTTCTTTGAGATAAATGTAAATCATTAGTACCATAGCATACACAGTGCATGCCAGTTGAGATGGATTTTTACCCCCTTTCATCTTGCATCTTCTTAAGGTTAATTAGCCCATTGTGGGCAAAGCCCACTGTGTAAACTAGCTAGTAGAATCTCATTGTTAACTTTTTCTTCTGCCATATGCTAAATAGCTCCTACATCCCCCTTTTGTTGCCTGGCAAATACTTGCATGCATAAATCTCCATTCCCTAATGATACATAATGGAGCAGTCATAGGGAGTGGAAAAAATAGATTATTTTAATCATTCATCGTAGAAAACCAGTAATATACTCAGATGTTATCCAGTATGTGCTCAACACTAGTATTTTCTGCACCTAATTATCCCATTTCTGTTTTCCTTTCTACCCTGCTTTGGCTAGGTTCACATTCATACTTGATGCTAAGAATTTTTTAAGAGGTATCTTTTTGGAAGCAGACTTCCAAGCAGGCTTTTCTTTGGCTACAGTTCTTCTAGCAGCGCATATATTCTCAGCCAGAAGGACAATTGTTCTGCATCATTCTTTGCATGAGGGATTTTCTGAAGCTAGCTCCCTGATGACTCACTATCCTATACTTCAAGCCTATTTGTGAATTCCACTGTGTGTCATTTCTTCTCTTTCAGACCCAATCCCAAATATGCACCTCAGAAGAAGTCTCACTGGGATCCCTTATATCCAAATATTTACCTGTTTTCACTAATGCTTACAGGGTTGCTAACTGTATTTCCTGTAGCAAAGCCCATCCATTCTGCCCTAATATTTGTTTAAAGGACAATGTTAACGTTAGTAAGATACTCACTTTTAAACAATATTTTTGCTCTTTGCTAAAATAGAGAAGTAGTGAAACTGTAAAAGTAAACATCACATTCAAAATTCTCTTTTGTGTTTCTCTTTATTCATGGTAGACAGAGGAATTAGCCCAATTAGTTTCACTGGTTAATACAAGTTTATGAGGGATTTCGCTTTCATGTTCTTGCATCCAGTATTGTTTACAGATTTCCTCAAAGGTACAAAACCCAGCTAAATTTTGCAAAATATTATTCCTTTTTAAATGCAGTATTTGCTTTTACAAAAGGTTTGAAGTGGAACATTTGAAAATAATATTAAATCACAAAAGATAATGAACTACAGTTCATTTTTTCTTCTTTATGTATGCTCAAACTGGACTTTTATTTGTAAAGATTATTGGATTTGTCAAAATAAGCTTCATTTCTGAATGAAAGGATCCATTAACTTGAAATTTTTTTATTTTGTTCTAAACCAAGTGGGGTCTAATGTTGGAATTATTGTGTGGTTCTAGGATAGTATGTCGAAGAATCGTCTCACCTGTGGCATATATTTCTCTAGATAATGTAATTATACAATCTTGTGGACATCAAATGCTGAGCAAGGTCTCAAAATTACTGCTGTATTTGCTCAGCATAATTCCTAATATGGAGTTATTTAGTGGAATTCTAATCCATACAGAGTTTTCGTTCAGGCTCATCTTTGTTCTTCAAGGCCCTTCTTATTTTCTAGGTGACTGTAGATAGAAGAGTTCACCTGCTGTTTTCAGCTGCTCTTAAAATTCACATTCTCTTTTCTTCTTAGCTTTGTGTTTTTGCCTATGATCCCTTGCAGAAAACCAGTGCTTCATCTTGCTTCTAGCTATTAATACTGGTTCTATGAACCTTTTCATGTCATCATCATTACCATAGGTTCTTTGCACATCACTTAAGCCTGGGCTGCCTTGAAGATTCACAGCAGCTTTTTCCAGGAATGCACACATCACTGAGTAATATGTACTTAGTGGTTTTTGAAATCTTATCAAGAGAGAAATTTGATTCAGCAGCAATTACTTTCCTTATTATTAGGGCACTAAATTCTGTTCTCTGATTTTGGCCCGTTGGTAACAGCTTCATTTTTATATTTTTAACCCTCTGATTTCTCCAACTGAAAGAGAAGTCGCTCCTCTTTGATAGTCACTTAAAAGAGTTAGCAGGATTAGAATGTTCCTTCATGATTAGTGAATTTTCTATTCTACAACTCTCATGCCTGGAAAGAAAGCATTATTTTCATCAAGTTTTCTTCATTTGGTTTTGGAAACCCTCATTTCCACGTTTAACTTCCAATAAAAACGGTGGATTTCACTATTCTGTTGCAGCCTGTCTGGATATTTAACTGAATTCTGTGCATTGCAACTAAATTCAAAAGAATATCTGGAAAATGGAATAGATCTTGGCTGCTCTGGACATCATCAGAGTGAGTAGACTGAAGACAACATGATGTGTAAGGATTGAAGAGGTTAAGAATAGAAAGAAATCAGAAAAGTCCTAAGTAGCTGACAAGCCCAAATAACCATGACAAAGCTGGGGCAGCAGTTCACACTAACTGCATCATTCATGCTTTTTCCATCTACAGCATTTATCATTTAATATATTTTCAGTAGATTCCACGCACAATTGCCTGTTACTTCCTGTTGAAACCATAGTGGCAAGCAATAGCATCTTTGATGTCATTGTGCAGTTATTGTGGCAATTACCCACTTTTTAATTATAACTGTTGTGACTTTTTTCACTCTGCTATCTAATCCACACTCACAATGCATTTTAACTCCTTAGAGTTCCCCTACCATTAAATAGGAGTAATGACATGGTGACAAACATTAGATGGCCTCTTTGTTAAATCTGATAATTATTCCCTTTGAATACTAATTGCTTTATTCCTAAGTAATGCTAAGCACCTGGATATTGATGGTTTAAACGTCATTCTTGTTTGTTCCATTAGTGCTTCCTAGTAGCTAATACCCCCCTAACCTCCATTACAGAGCCTGCATTTATTGTTCTCTTATTCGTGCACAACTAGGCTGCTCCCAACATTGCTTCACTTTCACAGCTCTATGTGCATCACACACTTTGTACGCTCTTTTCTCTAGCAAACTTACTTGCCTGAAAAAAATGACAAGGGGTGTAATGTACAGCCTCTTACAGTTAGTTGCCTTTTCTACCCTGTGCCATCATTTAATTTTCTGACTAACTGTACATCTCACAGAAGTTGCTTTTTAATAGACTGTTACCAGCCACTGCACTATACCTGGTACTTGAAACAGAGAAAAGATTTCTTCCATTAAGTTATGAGGCATACTTATTGTGTGTATGCACCCTCCAGACAGAACCAG